AAAAAAAAAAAAAACCGATTCTCAGTAAGCACTCTCGATCTGCTCTTGCGGTGCGAACCGCGAACCGCAAGCCCTAAACTTCGCACCGGAACACTGCTTCAACCCTGCAATTACTGCCTTTCCTTGCCCTGCTCCCTTGCCCACCACAGCAAGATTAGTAATTAGACCTCCAAAACCCGAACCAGCGGAAAGGTACGACAGCGTCATAAGCTCGTGCCGCGCACCTGAAACAGAAAAGTGAACCGCCTGCAAATCATATACCTTTGCAATTAAGGACATACAGACATGTGTGCACGTTGAGATGTAAAGGCCTGTGCACGACAGACGACATGATGTGCATATGCATCTACACAAGTGCAGGTGGAAATGTACATCAACACATGCATGCATGCCTGCAGACAGACAGACAGACAGCCATGCATAATATAGACAAGTGTACAGACGAATATGCAGATTTACAGACATGCACGGGGTGCATTGGCAGAAACAAAAAAGGCCCCAAAGCCCGGAAACTGTCCATCCGCAGGTCAAACTGGGAGAGCCATGTCGTCAAGGCCCCCGCATTGGCAAAGGAGCCTGCGCGGTTCTCGCACTCTCTCTCGCTCGCTCTCTCGCGCTCTCGACCTCGCTTTAGTGTTCAAGAGTTTAGGGTCTCTTGATACACAGAAATGGTTAGGATAAACAAAAAGATAAGAGAGCTAGGTGGGTACATAAGCAGATCGGCAGATAGATAGACAAACAAAGAGAGACAACGCGTTTTATTCAGGTGGGGACGGTCTGCTGCGGATTTGGGAACTTGGCGACTGCTTCCAACACCTCCGAACACAACATCTGTGTAAATGCGATAATTTGCCATTTGGGGCGTCTGAACCTTGGCAACCCTGACGCAAGCCGCAGTGACCAGGACTCGAAGCAGCTGAAATCCAAACAACGAGCACAAAGTGCTACAAGTTCCGGCGCTTTATATGTTCAAGTTTCAAGTCTCTTGTCAAGGATGGCCCTCCTGAGCCCGATAGCAGCAACCAGGAGAGGCGGCCTTTGCGCTTTGTCTCTTTGAGCTCGCTGCCCTCGAAGAGATACCGCTGAATCTGTGGCCACCTGAAGCGCCCGAAGGTCTCTGCAGGGTTTAGGCCCGTCGCAAGTACATCGGAATAGACGTCTGGTGAACTTGATTCAGTGCTACTCGGCGGCGGAGTTCACCCACGACACACACACACACACAGATATATACACACACACACACTGGTCGAGCAGATGCAGCCCTGCAAATTGGCGATGAGTGGTAGACTGCCGTGAACACCCGGTTTTAGGCAGGCCGCATCGATTTGATTGACATTCCCCAACCGACGGATCCGCCGCCCAAACAGCACTGCTCAACAAGATCGCTACAACCGCCTCTGGCTGCGCCCATTCAACCCTGCAAAAGCTGTGATTGCTGCTGGGGTTCCGTACAGTAGGGCTTAGGTTCTGGCATTCTCGTCGGAGGACCACATGGTCAATTGCAGACACAGTGATTGAATTCTTGTCGATCGAACTACTGTACCTCATCCACAAGCCAACTGCCTCCCCTGAGTTTGGGATCCCGCCCAGCTGAATGAATTCACAGCGACTCCAGCCACACCCAGGCGTGGATGTACTTGAGCTTTCGCTTGCCATCCTAGCGGGCTCACAAGCATCTGTTTCCCTCAACGGTCTCCAACAGAATGCACTTCTGCAATCTGATACCGATAATCTTTACACAGAGGCATCAAGAAGGGTACTGCCGGATGTACATCCCTGGAAATTGTTGCGATGTCCCCTGGCATGCCAAGCTTTGACTTTGGGCTGCGAGCTGACACTTTTACATCCCAAGTACGGCCGGAACCTGTAACGCCAACCGAAAGTAACCAGCCTTGTCCGGATGCTCGAACTCCAGCGTGTTCAGATCCGTCAATGGCAAACCCGTACATACGATGTCCACCGTGTAGAGATGGTACATGGTTAGCAGTCCTCCGGCTCTCGCGGCTTGAGGCAGAGATTGACAGGTGAGAGAATCAGGTTGTGAGTCTGGTTAATCGCAATCCGACGGTCCTGGATAGCTTTTGGACTTCTCTAGCTCAATGATGTGGTCCACGAAGTGTTCGTTGACCACCTGCAGCAAGGCGCTTGTATCACACAGATGCCCAAGCCTCCAGCCAGGGCTCCGAGACGTCACGAGTTGCTCTGCAGCTCTTAACACCCTCCTGCTCGCCTCGAGGGGGCAGGTGTAGTTTGGGTCGTACTCCGGCGCGGGTCTCCCCAACCCGATCTTCATGGTCCTGAGCACGATTCTTGCGAGTTATGATACGTACACGCCCTGGTGGTGAGCCAGGCCGCCAAAGCCCAGGAATGTGGGTCGATCACTGGATCTATGCACTGACTACCTACGGCCGCGACCTCAGACGAATTCTGAGGCACTTTTAATTTAGTAGTTTGGCAGACATTGGGTAACTCTGGAATACAGCTTGTGTATCGAGCTTCGACTCCACCACCCGCTGCATCTCTTCCTCGGTAACAGCACGCCGGCACACCTCGGAGGCGATGTTGGCGGTCCAAAGTTGCACCCTAAACCCATAAAGCCCAGAACGCCACATCCTCGATACTTCGTCAACCTGAGAACCCTCATGGAAGCCGGAAGGGGGCTGTCTTCTGCTGTCCATCCTATCATCCAAGAGTGTAGATGGGGTCAGATCCAAAACTAAAGGCGGGCAGGGGCATCTGCAGTTTTTTCAACAGAGTGCCGGCGGGTAGGCTTCCAGTTGTCAGTGGCCTGGCTTTGAGGCCAAAAGCCCCGTCGAACAAGCGATTCGATATATAAGTCTTGAAAGACGCCCGGGTACTATGTCCCCAGATCGGGATCCTATGGAAGATCTGGCGCCTGTATGCGCCGGTACCGGCGCATCACACTCTGAAGGGATGCCGATACCATGGGCCACGATGCATGGCGAACCAAGGCAGATCTTCATCCTTGCACTGTGGCAATGTATTGGCTCAGCAGCAGATTGTACTCATAGCACGGCCGCATAAGAAGCAAAGTCGGGCGTGCCCCACGCCACCAGCGACTGGCCGGGTAGAACGGCGAGGAAGCCACTGCGCACTGCATGGATCTGCCGCACCTCTCGCAACTGGTCCTGGACCGCTGTGCTGTCACCTCCAGCCCGGCTATCACCCCAGGTTACGACCGATCCATCATTCAGCAGAGCTGCGAAGGCGGAGCCGGAAGCATGGACTTGCTGCACGTTCTTGAGCCTTTTCCGGACATGGGAGCTGTCACCACCAGCTTGGGAGCAGCCCCAAGTCACAACCGATCCATCGTGCCGCAGCGCCGCGAAGGCATTGGCGTCTGAGGTCCCTGCCACTTGATGCACGTTCTTCAGCAAACGCTGCACTCCTCTACGGGCACGACAGCTTTGGTCGCCCCATGACACCACGGAGCCATCCTCAAGCAATGCTGCGAATGCCGCCTCGGAGGGATAGATCTCTTTCACACCTTGGAGTTTGGCCTTGACCTGGCTGGAGTCTCCGCCGGCAGTGCGCCAGCCCCAGGTCACTACCGAGCCATCGCCGCAAAGGGCAGCAAATGCGTAGGAATTAGCTGCCACTTGGCGCACGCCCCTGAGCTGATCCTTGATGTCGCCGCTTGAGGCGTCCACTGTCCCCCAGCTCAGCACAGATCCATCCCCAGTCAACGCTGCAAAGGCAAAGCCTGTGCTTACTATCTGCTTCACATCCTTCAGCTGCGCTTGTACGGAAGAGCTGTCACCGCCAGTTTGAGTCAATCCCCAAGTGACCACTGAGCCATCACCCATCAAAGCAGCAAAGGAAAAGGCAGAAGCAATGAGTTCCCGGACGCCCAACAACTTCGGAGCCGGCATGTTCTCCAGACCCAGGGGACCCCAGACTTCCACAGAGCCGTCCTCCGTAACGGCAGCTAAGGCTGCACCAGCCGCCGCCACCTGCTTGACATTCCTCAGCCGCTCGCGTACCGCCCAGCTATCTCCCCCATGGGAGGTGTCTCCCCATGTAACGACAGATCCGTCATACATGATGCAGGCCCAGCAGTAGGAGCCCTCAACGAGTTGCAAAGGCCTCGTCTGAAGAGTTAGCACATCACCGTCACGAAGCTGGGCCTGTCTCACGGTCCCTGCAGAAAGGCTCTTTCCTGCGCTGGTCCACAACTTGCCTCTGCTTTCAAGTTGGCCCTGTGCCAGGCGCTGGAGCTCAAAAACAGAGCTTTCGGGCGCCACTTGCACTAACGTCCTCCTCCCACTCAACAAACAAACTTCAATACAAAGTGTAGCCATGCAGTCTTGATGTTGTGCTGAGGAGAGGGGTGCTCTGGCATTTCAAGGGCCGACTGTCACATCTGACGGACAGGCTATGCGGCCGCTCGCCAGGGCCTGCACTACACCTGCCAGGTCGTGCCGTGAATGGAGCCGAAATGCAGTTGTCGACGAAAACGAGATCCGACATCTTGAAGCACCAAGACAACCCACCCGAATCCAACAAGGTGGGTCTGACTGTAACACACTTTCAGGGCATGTCTTGGCCTTGAAAATCCGCAAGCAATCCGTGCACTGGCTTACAATCTTCATGATTCCGCTTCCCTCCCATTCGACCAAGGAGCCTCGTGAAGGTTTTCTTCCAAGGGCATTTCGTCAGTCGTCAATTTCTCTGACAGGAGACCATTCCGCGTCCGGGTGCGGCCATCTCCTTGAATGCCAATCAAGTCGAAGCAGTGAAACGTGAAACTGTTCTTTTTCTTTCGAAGTGGGGATCAGGAACTCAGAACAAAACAAAACACTCTTAGCGGCAGCTGACGTTGGACAGCTTACCCACAGTTAGCAGGTTGTGGCTTGGGTGTCAGGGCTGATTCATGCACCATGCCAGTCTTGCGACAATGAGGAGTGCATGACCCCTCGTGTGCACGGCCTTTGGGGCTACTGTCTCCAAGTGAGGACTGGGAAACATACAGTATGTTTGCCACTTCAGAGATCGAGAAACTATTGCTCAACACAAGATCGAGTCCAAAACATTCACAATCGTCGTCTGCCCTCACACTGGGTGACTCTCCCAAGGTTGACAGACAGAATCGAAAATATCAGAGCCATTGCCCAAACCGAAGGGGGCAAAACGTGTGGACTCAGACCCAGCCTTGCAAACGCATGTCTGAGACAAGCAGCCGTACTGCTGCCAGGTGTTGAAAAGGAAAATGCCTCGCTCATATCTGTCCGGCGAGGTTACCTGTCCATGGCATCACCCACAAATCTTAAACCTTGTTTCATGCAGGGCTGAGTATCGACAGGGCTGAGTATCGACAAGGACCTTAATGCGGACAAGGAGGCTTCATTTCGACTGGGCACTTTACTCCTAGTTCAGAGTATTCTGTGCAAAATGCTCGAGCCCACGAGTAACCACTCATGAGGAATAAGGGCCCTTTTTTTCGTCCTCAGAACTGTACGACACCCTTATGAAACGGGCCCTAACAGGGACGCTAATTTAGAGAACTACCCATATAGAACCCTTATAGATCCCTTTATGGTACCCATATAGAACCCTTATAGTACTTTAAGGAACCCTTGCAAAGGGGACATCCCATGATTGTGGATAGGTACTGTTGATGATATGAATCCTGCACTACCTTAAGGACCCTAACCTATGGGAATTGTGGTATATTCCACACTATGGTTAATGCAGGATTTATAACATCAACCGTAAGGAAGAGGATGAGACTGCGCGACCGAGCCTTATCAGATAAAGAAGGTGATGGTAGTAGATTCTAGTAGGTTATAGCATTTTATAATAGGTTATAGTATTGTATAATTGGTTATAGTATTTCAACTAGGTTATATAAGTTTATAATAGGTTTTAGTAGTTTATAGTAAGTGGTTTTTAAGTAGATTATAATATTTTACAGTAGGTTGTAATACTTTATAACAAATTTTATAGTAGATTGTGGTATTTTATGCTCGGTTGCAATATATGGTAGGCCATCGTATTTTATAGTAGACTGTAGTATTTTTATAATGGGTTCTAGTATTTTATGGTAGGTTATAATATCTTAGTAGATTATCGTATCTTATAGTAGGTTGCAGTCTTTAATAATGGGTTATAGTATTATATAACAGATTCTAGTATTTTAAAGAAGTTTATATGACATATTTTGAGAAGAAGGAAAGGTGGACGCGTTGTAGGCGAAGGCCAAGCTCACCATCAGTGTTCTTGTGATTCTGCAATACTGTCATCGGACTCATGCAGTACGAGTAGCTGGGTAGCCTTACCAGTAGCAACGGCAGCAGCAGGAGTAGCAGCAGCAGCAGCAGTCGTAGTAGTAGTAGGAGTTGTAGTAGTGGAGAAGGAGGAGGAGGAGGAGAGCATCACGCTTATCTGCCTTGGTCTTTGACACGTTCTTGAATTGCAGGGCTCCACCTAGAAATCAGTTGCACGTATCTATACAAGCAATGCAGCATAACAAAATGTGCGGCGTGGCTTTATTGCCGAACCTATCCTTTCAGCTTCATCACGATACTTATAACCAGATGGTAATCATAATAGAATAACCATAATGATAGTAATCAGAAAAATAAAAGTAATACCAGAAATAATAGTAATAAAATATATAATATATAGCAGATGATGATACTAATATATATATATACCAACAATAATATATATATATATATATATATACACGTATATATATATATATATACACACACACATAATGTCGCTTCAGCTATCCTTCCAGCATCGGGCCTTCGCTCGGAGAACATGGGTAGTTCGCACGGGAATCAGACTGCCATCCGCTGCCCGCCAGAGCTCCAGTGCAGCTTCGTTCAGCTTGATCTCCTTCAACACTTTAGGATACTTTAGGGCTAAAAAGCTTGATCTCCCCTTCAAGAGGGGCAGGTAGCATAGCGACTTTCGACCAGAGTTCTCGGCAGCAACACTTCGGCTCAATAGGTTCTCTTGCATCTAGGGGCCCAGCGCGTGGACTTCGCAATGTGTGTGAAACGACATTGCTTTTCCGCAACTACTACTTGGTGTTGCGATATCTTTATTTCCAACGAAGGTATTTTTTGGCTACATTGATTAAGGGGCCTCATGTACAAATGACCGGCTTGTCGAAGCAGTGTTACTAGTTGGTGGAGTAACAGCCCTGCCAGTAGATGGCTTCACACGGAAATTCCGGCTCTCCTTCCAGAATTTGCTGACGCCCTTGGTGTTGTCTTTGCCCCAGTCTGCCGTGTCCAAGCCTGGCAACTATGAGGAAAGTTCCCATCGTCCTGTAGAGGAGCCTGTGGCAATGTCACGATCTATATGGCGTTGTTTGCCACTTAAGACATAGGATGCTCCACTCTTCTGCAAGATGCACTACGTAATTTCTGGCTCAGTGGTTCGAGTAGCTGTAGAGCAACGGTTCGCTCCCCATGCGAAGAAAGCTTGCCACACTCCCCGTATGGGTGTTTTGCTTAAACTGTGCAACCGCAGTAGCCTTAGTCTGCGGGGTACGATCTACGACTCCGGCGTTGACCTTCGAGGTCAGGTCTGGCACTTCCTGAGACATCAACTTCCCAAGCCGAAGACAGGGCCTCAATGGAAGGGATAACGGCCAGAAAGGTTCAGGGGAAGTGCCTTCTGCTGAAGTCTAACTCCTTTCTTAAGTGGCTGCCTTTGCACTCTTGGGGAGCCAGGGCACCTTTGTCCAGGAGCCAGGCAGCCAGGGACTCTGCATCCGGCACATCCTTGTGTGCTCCGGCTCACGGCTTCACAAGGGCTTCGACTTCGGATGGCGCACAAGGCTCAAGTTGTCGAACTGCACTACAGGAAGAGAACAGCGAACCTGCAAACACACCTGGAGCTCACATCAAGGAGGAACGGTTTGACGCAAATTGGGCAGACAACCTCCCATCGTGTTCCCATCGCAGAACTGGCAGAACTATGGGCTGCAGCAGGTTTCTGCATATCAATCTCGGCCCTCCGCAAAGAAATTGCCAACAGTCTGCACCCATGCGAGTGCCAGGCGGCTGTATAGTGTCTGTGTATATATATATATACTATCGTGCAGAAAGTAACGTATAGACTATCTACTATACAGTACAGTGGTACACAGTGATTCTTCTCTAAGCCCCTGTTAAATGAGCCAGGCGTCGCTAAGCGAGGCGCTCTGGATAAGTTCCCCGTCCGTTAGCGGTGCGGGGAGGTTCGACGCGGCCACCATCCCAAAAAATGCGACGCGAGGCAACAGGATCACAGCGCCTGAGGGAATCCCTTGGCTGGAGGTTAAGAGCTGGGCTAAGACTGGGGGAGGCTTTGGGCAAGTGTCAAGGACAGGATCCATGGATCCTCTGGTTGCGGTGAGGTGCAGGAGTACTTGGGCTAGAAGGATGCTTGGGGCACCAGATGGTGCTGTCAGAGTCGTTTAAGTGTAGGGGTTGCGTGCTCATGCGAAAGCTCGTAGTGGTGGCATCTGCAAGGCTTGCTTTCACCTGCGTTTACAACAACTGCGTGTCTGTCAATGGTTTGAGCCAGAGAGATGCATGCCACCTGTGTGTGGTCGGCGTTGCTTTCGCCCTGTTGAAAGTCTCATGCATAGAATAGGTCACTGACGGTCACTACGACCCCAAAATGCGGAACTTGCAAAAGCTGGATCAACACTCACACTGAAGCCAGCATCCACATTGTGACAACAGCAAGTCGGCTTTGAAGGTAGGCTTGGAAGGATTGGCTTCGAGTGATGACTCCCGAAGATCTAACTCAGCGAACAATTTCCCGGCAACAACTCTCAACATCACGGCCATCGCGGGTCCCGATTGATTGGTTCCGATTGAGCTCACGGGGCAGAGTGCACCAGCATAAACGACGCACAAAAACCCCGCTTGCAGGGCGACAAGCTACGTAACGATTGTCCTGCACAAGAGGTGTTTTCCAGCCGTCGCAGCAGAATCGCAAGTCACAGATATGAACAGGAGCTATGGCTTGAACAAGACGGACCTCTGACACGCTAGATATATCAAGGATGCTTCTCATTGGGCTATGGTGTGTATTGGGTGGAAATGGATTCAGTGTTTGCTTCGGTCTTCGCTTATGTGCCAAGCCAGGCTTTTCGTGGCCGACTCAGAACTGAACGTAGGAAGGCTGATCATTGCCTTCGGCCTCGGAAGAAACTGCAAGCTTTGTTCTGCAAGGCTTGGAATGAGGGCTTGCTTTGAGTTTGCTGAAAGTGTTGGTGACAGGTTCGTACCTCAAGGTGTGTCTCGAACATTGCTACCACTGGACCAGAGGCAGGAACTGCCTCCATCGGCTACAAGAGGCTTTTAGGGTACCACAGGGCAGCACGAGACGCGGTCGGAGGCAATCGACCTGGAAAACCTTGGGAGCCCAAATTGAAGCAAATACCCGGAACCAGCACACCGAGAAGGTCTTCATCTGGGGTCTGTGGACCTATGCAGCTGCCAGCGACGCCCTCAAAGATTCAAACTTAAGATGCTTAGCCAGGCGCAGCTCACACCCTCGGATCCCTTCTATTGCAGAACAAGATACTATCCGCTCTTCTGACTGGTAGCTGTACATGGTGGGGAGCAGCTTCTGACCTTGGCGAAGCAGCGAAGGCAGGTATCAAACTTGTGTCTACTCGAGTACCATAGACACCGTGGAACATCAATAGAGTTGCTTCTTGGCTTCGTCAAGCTCCTGTAGAAGAGAAAGAAAGGGGCGGGTAGGGCCGGCAGGGGGAGCCTCAGGTGCAAAAAATGCTCGCGTGATCCTCATGACCAACAGTTCCTAGATCCTATAATTGCAGGATCCTAGGTCCTATATGTATAGTCTGCGCAGATTGCAGATCCGAACTTGAGGAGTGCAGGAAGCACCAACTGGTGACCTATACTTTACACTTTTCACAGTTCTAAGTAGAACTTTCTGCTCATTCGAAACACGAGCATGCACAGGAACAAGTCGAGATTCCTCGGGACCAGGCCAAGACGACCCATCACTGCACTTTCGGAAGTTGGTGGCCGATGAGGACCCTGCCATTCGTAGCATCACTCAACAAGTCAGCCGGAAGTAACAAAGGTTTGATGATGCTACACTGATGTTGCCGGCATGCACCATAAACCATATAATACTCGAAACTAGCGAGATGGCGATGAGATATGATGGAAAATCTCGAGCCAGCCCCGGTAACGCAGGGTCTAATCTATGGGAGCTCGATGTTGCAACCTTGGGTGGCGCGAGCAGTAGCAATGCAGTAGTGTCGGTTGTGCTTGCGCTCGGACAGGGAGGGAGAAAGCCGGGCGGAGAGCAGCGAGTCAACTTGGTCCAAATCCACTGCTAGCCAAGAAGGACGGCTGCATCTCAGAAATCTCAGTATGCAGATAAGTACGCCACCAACGACTTGCTTCCAAGGCCTTGCGAAGGCAAACAGGGTCTGAGGCACCGCCAGCTGAAACCACATCAGCAGTTGCAATACACCTTAGCCAACTCATGGATTCAAAGAAGGCCAACCAAAAGATTAAACTGTGCCCAAAAGAACGGAGCTGCCTGCTCCAAAGATATCCAGCTCGGACTGCACTGTGGCGGCGGCCGTTGAGCAGAACGATCGCCACCACAGTCAACAGAGGCATCACGACCAGTGCCAGAGCGAAGTGCGAGTTCCTGAACTGCAAGGCATTCGATGGAAGGGAAATCCCCCACAAATCGCACGCATGACTTGGACAAAGGAGTGACAAGCGGGAGCGCACAAGTCTCAGCTCGAGAAGTTCCCCTGCACAGCATTGTCTTCGCCCCACAGAGCTGCATCGCATTACCATGGGCAAGCACAAGCAAGCTCACAACCTAAATATCTGTTGCATCGGGTTGTCGCCACGGCGCGCACCGTAGGCACAAAGCGACACTCCTCACTGCAAAGCCCCGGACGCCAGTGAGACATCCTGCTCCAGGTGTGTGGCCGGCTCCTGGCCAGATCTGCTGCAAACAGAATACTCTCACATCCCACCCCACACCTTCCTGAAAACGAAAGGAGTTCGCACTCTGGTGCAAGCCAATTCGCCGCTATTCGCGGCTTGCCGGTTTGACACCATTCGATCACGAGGAACACACAAGATCCCAGTAGGAAGAGCCCAACAGGTTCCCAACTATGGTTTTCCTCCCCGGTACTGCTGATGGAAGATTCAGCACAAGCCAAGGTTCTGCTTTTGGTATCCTTCTTGAAAGCCCGAACTCCGGGCAAATGCTAGAAGCAAAACACAAGCATGTGGGGAGAGCCCAATCAGCCACAAAGACCCGTAACTCAGAACCACTGCAACAAGTCCCTCCAGACTGGCCCCTTCCAGAACGAAGGGCCTCAAGCAGTCTACAACCCTCCACTTGCAGGCCGGCGGTTGTCTTACAGTTGGCAGCTAGCAGACCCTTACGGCCTTACGCCTTGCAGTCGCCGACGGCGTCGTGATTCGTACTTACAACTGACACAGCAACTTCAACTGCGAATGCTGCTCCAAATGCGACAACGCCGAGGCTTTTAACGCTGTGCAGCTTTCGGGCTCTGCGTTTTTGTTGGCAGGAGTCTGAGGAGGCTGCACTGTGAGGATGTCTAACAGTCTACCAGGTAATTGCACTCCTGGTTCTGTCTGAAAAGGCTCATGAAGCAGAACCGAGCCGGGATCACATTGTGCCACTGCAGGAAGATGGGGTATTTTACCACCTCGCATGCGGCTGCAGACTCTGTTCAACTCTATTCTACCTGCAACTCTGTACGGCCAAACACAGTGAACTTTCATGCACATGAGACGGCTGAAGCCTGCCTGCCCACCAGAAAACCGTTGAGGCCAGCAACATGCTGCGGCGACGCTCTACACGCAGGTCACAGGGGCGCACATGCGGCTTCCCAATCTTACTCCGGGAAGGCCTTTTTGAAGTGGGCGGAGAAGTCCTGCACAGCCAGCTCGTAGAACTTCAGCTTCCTGGGCAAGAGACTCCGATCTCCGACATCTGAGGATCCTTCGCAACACCCCTTATGAAATCGACGCTTCTCCCTTGCATGTCGCATCTCAACTACTCCAAAGTTTTCAGACCTCCCTCTGAGACTCCGGCATCTGGTCTGTCTCACGAATGCCACCTGTCTCCCACACGTTCGACGGGCTGGGCTTGGGAGCTCAGTCGTCGATTTAGACTCATGGCAGCTGACGCGTGTATCTGAACAGGACCCCTGTCAACGAGAGACTCGTGATAAACCTCCCTCACAGAGGTCGGCTTCTGCGTGCGGATCTCTTCTTCCATCTTACAGCCAAGTTACTATAGCTGTAGAACCATGTGTAAACCAGCAAACGAAAATATTATGGCCAATATCTGACATGCAAACGACAATTATCTAGTAAACATTTTAATGCTAGAACTGCCGTGCCTAAACAAAAGTAGGTCCATCCACTCACGCATACAATTTTCTCGATCTCAATGCACATCACTATGGAGATGCATTGACATCATACGCCATAAATAGCTCCTAAGGACCGTAGGTACAGTGCAGATGGCCTCGCAACACAAAACCTTTAGGTGAGGTGGCAGCACCAACGAAGCATGCTCAGGATCGTGCCCACATGCGCCCCGGGCACGTTCCAGTCCCCACCTCAAGGCGAAAAACAGGCTGCAGCTGTTCTGTAGCAGGCTGGCTTCGTTGGTCTTTGGCGAGTTTGCCGCTTCGGGTCCAAGAAACTGATTTGGCTGTGTACCCCATTATGACTTGCACCATCGTGACCGGAAGCCACCTCAACCTACATGGAAAAGTGTAGATGCGCTCTTGACTTCACTTGCCTGGCGTAGCTACACTTGGCCTTTACTTGTTTTGTAACCTTCAAAGCTCTGAAGATTGGGTCCGTGATGAAGCGGCTTTGGAGTTGCGCAGTGATTGGGGGTCGAGTCTGGGAGGTGTGATGGAAAAGTGCAGAAGCCACCGGGGTTATAGGGTGCCTTTAAGGGCTCTGTAGGGCTTAGGGTTCATGGGTAGTTAAAAGTAGGGTCATAAGTAGAGTAATGTGGAGTATAACCCCAGTCGAAGGTATTTGCCAAAGTCAGTTGTCCGCCAGTCTGTCGCGCCTTTTCCGTGCTGTGCAGCATCGCATCAGTCTCGACTGGGCATTTGTAGCCAACTTTGTCTCAGTCGAGTGTAACTTATGTGGGTCAAGCCATTCTTCTAACGCTCGACACCAAGATCTGCGTGCAAGCTCCAGAAGCGAAGCAGGCTGTCATAGATGCATGCATAAGCAAATGAATCGAACAATGTCCACAATTGCTGCACCTACACCCTCGCGCAGAATCGCACAACCCCCGCCCCCGCCCCTGCCCTCCACACACAAATGAGAATAATGGCGATGATGCTGAGGACAATGATGCTGATGTGTTTCTTGCGTGCTGGTATTCCGAATGTGACTGTTGGTAGCACCACTGCTCTTAAGCCATATGCAGCTCTGTCTCAGGCACCGCATGTTCTTTGCTTTTATTTGTTTCAATAGCTTGTTTGGCTTGATGTTCTTTCGTAGAGTTTCGTAATTTGTATCGACCGTTGTCATTCTATGCTCAATCTCGGTTGGGCGTGTCAAAAGTCAGCGCATGTGCTTGATTGACTTTCACTCAGGACTTTTGAGCAAGGAACCGGAGGAGCGTGCAGACGGGGATCGTGATCACCATCATCGAGGGAGGGACACGGGGGCAACCCACACCACAGGGAACCATGGGGTGGGGGGGAGGGGGGGATACAGTACCAGGGTGCAGGGTGGGAAGGGGGGGCCTGGCAGCGCTGCACCATATATCGGTCGCATGTTGTTCCATGCCGGCAATTGTAAAATCGAGTCGAATGCTGAAGACACACCAGACCTAAATGGGATCCCATCCTTGTTGCAGTCTCGAAACTACGATAATCAACAGCGACCCAGCTTGGCAGTGGAGCTTTCAGAGCAGCCAGCAAGTCCGAAACTTCGATGCTTTCATGGCCTTCAATGTGATGTCACCTGTGACTAAACTAAACAATGCTTTTGCATCGTTCAACCAGGGGAAGCTGAAAGCATCGCTAGTAGGGGGGATACCGCACCGCCATCATGTCTGAAGTGACGTTTCGGAAATCAAGGGATGGAACCACGGCCACGGCGCACTTGGCGCAGTTCAGCTGCTCACATGGGCGTGTCTTCCTCGGTACAGGTCTGTCCGCTGTCCTTGTTAATTGCCCGGAGAATCCTGCCTCTAAAGCCACCAAACAGCCAGGCCCAACCCCGCAACCAACCACTCTCAGGCTCCGAGTGAAGAGGTTCCACCCGAAGCTCTCTCCGCAGTAAACCCCCAGGGCTGCCACGACGACGGCCTCCTGCAAGCATCTTTTGAGAGAACACTTGCAGAAGTGACTCGTACAGCCAGGGCCCTGGGTGCGAAATTTCGAGTACAGCTCAAGGGCTTTCTGGTGCGGACGCCGGGGCTTTTGAATGAGACTTGACCTTGATAATCCCAAACCAATAGACAGCACTCTAAGCACCCACCCATAACGTGCCTGCATGCTTCGGCCGACCAGGACAGTGTCGACATGGCCTTCAAGCTCAATCGTGTAGACCTCGGATCCATGGAAAGCGGCAGTCAGCTCGATAACGCAAACTCTGTAACTAACTACTCTTTTCACTCAGTGCCCGAAACGGCTTGGCACAACTGTCTCAACTGCCTGACTACCGAACTTGTCTCGTGCGAGGCTCTTGTCTCTCGTGGGTCAGCTCGACCTCACCACAGCCTGAGCTGCTCAAGGGACGGCAGAACCCTTGCATCCCACCGACGATCGCCATGTATGCTGCGGGAATGTAACTTACTTTATTGCTGCGGGCCCCGCGAATTTGGGAAATCTTGTTGTGAAGTGCGCTGTGCGAAGCGTGCTTAGATACCTGAGGCAGGACATCAGGTCCATGCTGACACCAACTCTGAAAATGCATGTTTCCGCAGGCGTGAACATCTCGGCGATACGACATGGGCATGCACAAGAACCCTCTGGTGCAACTGCAAAGCTCTCTGGCCGCCGCCACGTCCCACCCATCTTCACGGGATGCCCGGTTGTGAGCCGGCAACCGGGTATCACTTCCTCACAGACCGGGACAACTTTGCTATTGCGATTCTGTTCAGTTGCAATCACAATGATAAGCATGAAAGACACAAATACCACTTCTTTCGGCCACATTTCTCTGAGTGGCGACCGTGGCAGATTCGCCCAGTGTAGGACACTGCCAGATCCGGGTCACTCGCCGGAATTGCTCTTCCCTCACCTCGGTGATTGCACAGTTCTTAGGGGGATATACGGGTCATACAGGATTTCCAGCCGACAGGATAGCCAGGGATCTGTAGCACTGCATACACCGTATGACCGTATCAGAGATGGCAGCCACTGCCAACAGGATCGAAAGCACCAGACGAGCTCGCATCGTCAAGGTTCAGGCGACACGCTTGTAGGCCACGCTTCGGTTTTCAGCTCCCGCACTTCCTGTGACGCCAAGTTGCCGGAGATCCAGTGTGCAGCACATCCCCCTCTTTCAGTTGTCGCATGGTTTTCTGCACCTGTCGACCGGATTTCAGGACGTGGAAGACGCAGGAGTCAGTGAAGCAGGTACCTGGGCATTGTCCGATCATGGCATGTTCGTTCTGAGGCAGCTTCTGCTGCTTGCTTCTGCAGCATGTTCGGAAAAACTCTTTGCCTCTGTCTCTGGACTTACTTTCAACACTTTTGAAAAAGAGCCTGTGCGCTGTACGCCGTCAAAGAAACTCAGAAGTACCCCTGCAGGAACCAAACGCCGCTGCTAATCGAGCCGCAGCGGACGGAGTCGGGGCTCCAAGCTCGGGCTACCTGAGCAGAAGTTTTTCACAGCACGCTGTGAACTGGGAGAGGACCAGAGGCAACTAGGTCGGACCCCGACAAAGGTTTGCCACGATCTGCACCGATTCTATGGAAGCTACATCCTGCCCCGGCATGCAGGTGCCGGCATCAACCAGCATGGCATAACTCATGAAGATAATAGATACTCATATCTGTATATATATATATNNTTATGCATGTATTCACTCATGTCCAACATGTCGCAGCCTGCTGGTGCCTCTACTGCGGCTACTCCGTGTACTACTACTTATATCGCATGTCCCCCCAGTGTTTTGTGGCGGCTATGGTGTTGGTGGGTGGGAGCCTTCGTCACACTTGAAGTTTCTGCTGCAGTGGCAGCAGTAGTAGTAGTAGT